ATACGGCAAAAAAGTCTACTAACCGGTAGTTGACTTCTGACTTCAAACTACTATACCCCCACTGTATGTCATAATCGACTACTTCCACAGTACTCACTTCACATTTTTTCTACCTTCGTTTTTGAAACACTCTTCAGCCCCCCCCCCCCTCTCGACTTTTCCCACTTTGATGGTCCTTCACCTCTGTGAAGCTTGAAGTCGACTAAAGAGCTGATGATAAACGTCAAAAACGCCTGCCATTTGATATAAATAAATAAAAATAAATATTCAATTAACCATTTTGGAGTGCAAGAACACAAGGAAAGTGGGGACCATGTAATAGCACGAGCCTTCACGTGTTTCAGGAATATGAGTTCTAGCATATAGGCTATTCCACGACTCTATTAGGTAACATTAACTTTCTAATGTGATCAAACTGAGACGAAATATATAAACTATTAAATCCAACATTTTGTAGTTTAAAGGCGGTGCGAAAAAATGACTTTGCGTTTTGATAGGCCTAATTCTTCATGTGTTTTGCTTCATTGCTATACTAATTGAGCAACTCCTACAGCGACCAATAAATATGAACAAGTGGAATTTTTTTAATTACCTTTATAAATTAATCGACTCAGTGCGAGAGTGAGATTATCTTTTAAACTATTTGTTCGCACAATTTTCATTCTTGTAGGCAAACAATTCCAAGGAAACTTCACCATTCAGCTCAAGACCATGACTATGTTGTGCATTTCGCCTATAATCTGAATGATATGCATCAATTGCTTATGAAATAATATTCGATTCATTCTCTAACAGTTCCTTGAAGTTTGAATAAACTAAATATAATGATATATATATATATATATATATATATATATATTGTTTAGAAAGGTATGGCGTTTTTAAAAAATAAACTTTTTCAACTGTGTGCATCTCTCAATAGAAATAACAAATACAATTTTTTTCTAATTTGCCATTGAAACTATTAATATTTTAACTAATTATTTGGCTTAGGTAGGCTAAATAAATTCTTACACTTTTCCAGATAGTAATCGCTATTTTTGAGGTCATGGTGTTAGAAAAACCACTAATTGCTGGAGTGAATTAATTTAATTTATATCATTCGATTTTATATAAATCAACTGAATTTCAGTAAATAAGTTGGCATATTTGTTAGAATCTAAATACCATGAAAACTACCATAACTTGAAATTATGAAGTAAAATTCATGGTTAGTTCATACATCTACCGCATACACTGGGACGACTTGATAACCCAATGTAATTTATAGGGTTATGGCCGTATGGAGTTTTCATAATCCAGATAGGTGCTATACACCAACTTATTTCTATAATGAGGGGCGTGCGATAGACTTACCTTCACGTGGTGCACCCTGGGCAACGTATTCTCATACGACAAAAAAGTCTATAAACCGGCAGTCGACTTCTGAGTAAAAAACTGCCATCAACCCAGTGTATGTCATATTCGACTACTTTCACAGTACTCATCTTATCTTTTCTCTGCCTTTTCTACCTTCGTCTTGGAAAAGCACTCTTCCGTTCCACCCCCCTCCCTCTTGACTTTTTTCAATTTGATGTTCCTCCTTCCCTCTATGAAGCCTGAAGTCAACTAAAGGGCTAATGACAACCACCAAGACGCCTGCCATTTGACATAAATTAATTTCTGAAATGAATCTGTGATATTAATTTTGGCTTTAATACTGGTAGATCACTGCCTAGCTTGAACAATTCCAACACAGCAACCACCATTGAAACTTGACTGACAGATTAACCAATAAAGTCTATTAACTCGCAGGTGACTTCTGACTTCAAAATACAACGACCCCCCTAGTTGTCATATTCGACTACTTTAACAGTACTCAATTACCTTTTCTCTACCTTTTTGTCTATCTCTGTCACATCTGTGAATCATTATTCTGTTCCCTTTCTCGACTTTTTGTCACTTTGATGTTCCTCCTTCTCTCTGTGAAGCCCGAAGTCAGCTAAATGGCTAATGATAACTATCGAAACGCCTGCCATTTGAAATAAATAAATAAATATCTGAGTGGGTAAAACGTAATCATTACTTTGTGTCACTGACTCACATTATTATTACATAATTTATTTAATAGATTTGTTTGCGAAGATTCCTCCGATACAACTCCGTATATTCCCCGCCTGTAAAGCCGATGCAAAGGTCATTTACCACTTCCGGACTGATCGAGAAGTAATAGTTCTCGAATAATTGCTTTGGGGGTCATGTTGGCAGGCTTGATAGCTGTCCCTTAATGGAATTCGATAAAAATTTCAATCGTAGGAATGAACACATAGAAGGCTCGTTAATTCACAAACTAAATCAACTTACATATTTGCTCACAATAAATATTCTTTTAAAACTAAAAAGACTGATGTCTGGCTGGCCAATCATAGAGCAAACTGTGGTGGTGGTTTTACAGGTCATCATCAACATGGAAATTTAGCTCTTAGTGTATTTCTGTTGTGCGTTCATTTTTACATTTCTATCTTACACCACACGTGGAACATGCAATGAGGTTTTACTAAACTCGTGAGTCATTGTGTTATTTCTAACTTTCATTGCGTTCTTAATCATATGCACACCGGTTAATGATTGATTTATTTTCACATTTCGCAGCAGTGGCAATGGATGGTGTGCGTCCAATCTTAGATAAGATACTATTTCAAAGATGCTCTTGTACATAATTATGCCCAAAAAACCTGGATCCAATTGCTGACCATTTGGAATCACAGTTACAAATTGAATTCTCACACATGAATTGCCATTTCGCATTGATTCTACTTTCTAACTTATCCAATGGCATCTTGTAAATAGTATCTTAGATTGGACGCACACCATCCATTGCCACTGCTGCGAAATGTGAAAATAAATCAATCATTAACCGGTGTGCATATGATTAAGAACGCAATGAAAGTTAGAAATAACACAATGACTCACGAGTTTAGTAAAACCTCATTGCATGTTCCACGTGTGGTGTAAGATAGAAATGTAAAAATGAACGCACAACAGAAATACACTAAGAGCTAGATTTCCATGGGTATAAATAGAGTTGGGGGAGAACATCAAAGCAGCGAAGTGGTGAGTATGGAGTTCTCGAGTGCTTTGACAATCGTCGGAATGCTTCTCGTGAGCCTATTCGTGCAAACCAATACCTTCCCTATCTCCGAACCACAATTCACCACTGGCCAATCACTGAATGAGGCGTTGCCTGAGGCCTTGAACGAAGAGAATCAGGTGTGTCCCCATTGTTTGCAGCACCACTACCGTGAACACGATGGCGACCTCGATGACGAGAACGCTTATGCTAAATATTCTTACCAGCCTCGCTATTATCACGACGACGATAGTATTGATGATGACCATCAGAACCCCCACCACAGTTTGCCCTATGATTGGCCAGCCAGATATCAGTCCAACGCACACCAAATATTCTACCAATGCCCTCTTCATCATCAGCAACAGCAACAGTATAAAGGCGACCACAAGGTTTCATTTGAAGAACTGGGTCACGACGTCACCAAGATTGCCCAATTCCTGACGGCAGAAGGTCCACAGGGATTGGAGACGCTTCTTGAGGCGAACAACAGCGGTGACCATGAATTCATTCCAAGCATTCGTCAAGAAGATCTTGTGGCTCTTGGAGCTGCCATCTCTCGAATGGACTGTGCAACACGCCGATCTTTTGCTCGAAAGGTGCCAAAGGCAATGAGTAAAGTGTGGCAAGCGTGCCCTCGTTGTTGGGACTATGAGTGTGGAGTAGAATACTAGTTGTCTGGGATCCCATTCCCCCCAATAAGCTTATTTGTATTTATCATCTCGAGAGAATGTTCAATGAGGATCGTTCGATTTCCTGCCTTCTGCTTGATAACAAATGATTGTACATAGTGTTTTCCTTTGTTTCACCTTCCGGTTAATTCGATTCCGCTCTCCAACTTTGATGCGAAACTTTGGTACCTTAAAACAGTATGCTTATTTTATTTTACCTCTATGCACTTATATTCCTGAAAATCTATTTCTGTCCACTTCCTTGAGTTGCTCGATTATTAATTGAGAAAACCAAATTTTGTTCCATTTTTGGTATTGAGGTGTTTTATGTGAAATTAATTGTCAATCTCAATGACCTCAATGCACCAACTTATGCTTCTCATGCCTTGGCAACTCCAACAATGGTCATTTTCCCTATAAATGGGTCCGTTATGAGTTGAGCAAGCACTTGTCCATGACATCCCTTTTGCTCTCGTTAATTCATTCTTTCCATATGATTTGGAAGAATTTGGTGGTAGATGAAATAAGTGTTGCAGAGAGGACGTGAGGGTTGAACACCGGGAATGCTACTCTGTACGTGACTAGGAATTATTGTTCTTAGTGGTAAAGTTAATCATTTCACACTGATTGTTACAACAACTACCTTCCCTTAAATGGGCCTCTTGAGAACCTCAGTGGTTGAGGTGATTTGGATTTACTGAGTGTGATTATCATGTGAAATGACATTAATCCCATACATGTGTTAAGCACTCAGTGACTAATCTGATTTCGGTCACTCAACACTTCATAAGTGGGGTGTGTGATAGACTTACCTCCACGTGGTGCACCCTGGGCAACGTATACTCATACGGCAAAAACGTCTATCAACCGGCAACGGACTACTCATTTCAAACTAACATGACCTGACTGTATGTGATATTCGACCACCTCCACAGTACTAATCTGTGTCTGTCTGTCTCTTTTACACCTGTGAATCGTTATTCTTTCCCGCCTCTCGACTTCTTGCCCGTGAAGCCCAATATCAGCTAAGGGCTAATGATAACTATTAAAACGCCTGCCATTTGAAATAAATAAATACTTCATAAATTTTTTTTGGTTTTTCCATGCTTCCTTCTCTTTTTGGCGGCGTCTGAACTTCTTTGGAGAAATTTCAAAAATTTGTTCGATCATTGTTTTGGCACCCTAACTTGAATCATTTGTTCCAAATTTCGATGAGTTAGCGACGCATCTAATGTCACCATTGATTTTTTTCTCAAATTCTCTTGAAAAGATAGCTGTGGAGGTTTAAGTTAAATTTTTAATCGCTGGAAAACTGCTGTAGTAACTAAATAGTCTTGGAACAGCATATTTACAATAGCACAATATGAGACAAAAATGCAGTCAAAATATATGATGCGTTTCAAAGAACTCCTGTTTCTCTAGACTCTAATTTAATTAATAAACATTCATGCATGTGCTCAATATTTTCGCTGGTATTTTTCATATGATGTGCTTTCCTTTGAGTCTTTTGAGTCATTCCGAGAAAGACATTTCATTATTAATGGCTATTTTCAATAAAATTAAGGGGAGAAAAGATAAAATTAATATAAAAAAATTAATATAAATACGCTGAGGAAGTGGAAGGCCTGGTTTCGATTTCCCCTTCTTCATGGCGTTAAGAAGGCCTCTTCTTTTCATGCTAATTGGAGAGCATTTATAGAATAAACTAGAGCAATTCCATCATACGCCCATCAAAATATTCACAAAATTTATATTATAAGTGCTTGAACTTAACTTAACGATGGTCAGTTGTAATTGCAAAATCGCATAATGTTCACAATCGATCACCATTCAGAGAAAATAATTTCATCATTAATTGCTACTTTCAATTTTAAACTGGAAGAAAACATAAAATAAATGCTAAAACACTGAAAACATTAATGAAAAAAGTTAATAATTTAGATACTTCATTTATTTCAGGTCACCGCTCTTTTCTAAACTGCTCTGTCTTCGAATGACACCAACATGGAATTAATCTGTGTTCTTCTGGATTTTTGATGAATCTATTTTGAGCAACATATTTGCATGGATTTCATTGATGGATTTTCCTCTCCAGTTTCAGCCTTCCAGGAGTGACCGAATATGGCACACCTCTTCTATGACTTTTCGTTGGTTCACGTGTCCTGCTCTTGGGTGCCATAGTTTGGGTGATGCTTCAAACTGAGCTTCGCATTAATATTTCTGAAGGTGGTTTATCACCAACATTCGATTAGAGAGAAAACCTCTAAAGAAATCCACTTATCGATCCGTAATCTTTCGCTCTCAGCAAGGCTTTTTAATCGTGTCGCCAAATCGTACTACCTAGCCGTGGATGTGATAAGTAGTTCTTTGTCTACATTTTTCTTCGATTAGCAGATCTTTATTGGATTGGCTGGTACTAGTGTTACTGGGACAACATTATTCTAGAAAATGCGGTCAAGGGCACTGATGGATGGTTTTCAAATCTGTCTTTTGAGTCACAGATTAATTTGAGACATTCAAATGAGCCATCTTTAATTCGAACAACCACTTGAGTCCCAAAAGGTCCAACCCAGATGAGTATGGTGTAAGGCACTTTGCAGTTATCTCCTCACCACCATATCAAACTCGACAGCCAACTTCAACTTCCATTTTCAAGGCTTCACTAGAAGTATTTCAGCCACTCTGGTTTATCACTTCCACTACTGGGCTACCCAAGTTACTCCCATCTTCTCCTGAAACCAGAGTGGCATCAGAAACGCCATCCAAATACAACTTCATTTTCACATCAAGCACCAAGGTCACACACTACCATCCGTTGGAACAAAACTGACTACAACGAGAGCATCAAAAGACTCGATCGAGTTTCCAGGTTTCTTTTTCTTTGAATCGTACTTCACGATATTATCATGAATTTGTCTAAAAACAGTTAAAATCCTTACGCAGAAATCGAATGGTAAGAGCCCATCAGAATTCAATGGGAAAAAGACCTAAATAGATCGTTTGATATGTGCTCAAAGCCAAATATCTCAACTAACCACTTTGTCAATATTAGAAATTCGAATCACCTCCCACTTCACCATGATTTTTCCCCCAGTCAGTTCGCAAAGGAAAGATACTACTTGGATGTCCTGAATGCAACCTCGATTCTATCAAGCCACGTATTGAAAGTAAGACCCTTTCCTTACTCTGTTAAACATGATTGTCAGAGCATAGTTTTAGGTGTATCTTTCTGAATTTTCAGAGTTCGGGCTCAAATGCTTTGCTAACTGTTCTATTAATTTCAGCAAAGTTTCCTGATGTTGAATAATTAAATTCAGGAAATTGTCTCGCCTACCTCTAGGCAAAAGTTCCTTAAAAACGAATCTCGAAATTGGTGTACCTTCAATTCTCATTCCCAAAGTATGCCCAACACATTTGTTGTTGAGATGATAACAAAAAGACTTCATCATCACAGTCATCACAAGGTCATTACTTCTGTTGGGAAATTTTTCCATTTGCAATAGTTACATTGAATCTAATCTTTCAATGAAATGTCAATAAATTAACAAAATAATGCTTAGTAATGTATATTATTTTGTTTTCTCATTGGCTAATGCAACAAATCAGTTGTGCCAATGGGAATGCATTTTAAACTGATAGAAAATTTAATTTTAACCCCATGTATATTATATATATATATATATATATATATATATATCACTTTTTTCTATAATTTATCTTGTATGCAGGATTGAATTCATTGAGTTGAATTCACTTGCCATCTTCATTAATTTGATTGAAGCATTGTGGTATACTATAAACTCCATAGTACCAGTTATCAATTATAACTAGCAAATGGAAAATTCTTATAAAAATGCCTTTAATGCTATTAACTGCCACTCAATTTTCCTCTTCACATGGCAAATGACATTATCTGCCAATATTATTCTTTTCTCCGTGATTTACATACTTCCTACGCAATTTAGAGAGACGCTTTTGATAGCTAATTTAAGGTTATATCGGCATTGCTGTCTATTTGGAGGAAATTTGCTATTCACGTTTATACATATCACACTCATTTCATCCTGATGAAATAATTAAATAATGAATAATAATAATATAAAAATTAATGTTACCCAAACGTTTTCAGTAGTGTTAATTTTGGAAACAAGGAAAAGTTTAATCATTTTAATTGTCCTCCTTCCACCCTNTGGGGGGTTAGATAGCCAGTAATTACGCATTTTACTGCCTTCTTGGACACTTCTGCGATAGCATCATACAAGCACTCGCTCTACGGCTCCCTCTCAGTGGAGAAAAAAATGTGGAGTGCTGCTGCGTAATTCCCTCTCCCTCAATTCCCATTTTGACACAAAAATGCGACCCTAACTAGGCTTTGTTAATTGATGATAAGGGGAATTCAAATTAGGGGACCCAATTCTCCCCCTTTCTTTAAGCTCAATTCCCTTGAGCACTTGGTAAGTGTAAATCGGGGAGAAGGGGGTTATTCATTGTCGTTTATGGATTTCTTAAAAGCCATCCCCTTCTGCAGACACTGATTTTCTCTGAAACTGAAACGCGAAGAGGGGGGGGGCGGGGTTGACGAATGAGTTCGTCTAGTTTCACTGGTTACTACTGCTTCATTTTTAACAATTTTGCCAGTTTAAATTGCAAGATCACTCTTTGCTAATGCGGAAGATACGTCTATTTGAAGGGTTGAACGTAGTTGGAGACCAAATTAATGTAACGTTTTTTAAACATTTTAGAAGGGAACGCCTTAAAGCTAAGGTTTATTTTTCAGAATGGTATTCTTGTGGCAATCTTCAATGTATATTCGAAGAGATGAGCTCGATGTATGTCCCTAATAAACAACAAATATCTTTAAGCTGTGCAAAGAGGAAGGACAAACTTCACCTTATCTAAGTTGAATCCCCATCCGATTCAAGTCCCTGACTGGTATTGTGGAGCGTCTTTCTAAATAAACTGACGATTATCAGTAACAAGATGTAGCCTTTATATTGACTTTC